TGTTATAATTCGTGCCGTCTAATATTAAAAATCCACAACGGTTTATACTTTCCTAGTGCCGTTCTAAAATCTTACTAGGGTAGTTATTTAGAATATAGAGGAGGGTTGTTTATATTAACCACGTCGGTTTTTTTAGTTATAGCGTCGTTAACATTGTATTACCACATTGTTATTTGAAAAAACCGTCGTCCAAAATTTGTATTCGTTTTTTAGAGTTCATTTCTGGATTTTAGTAGCCTATGACGGTAAGTCAAGAAAACGAAAACTACTGTCATATTAATTCATTTTATACGTCTGACCTTATCAGTGAATCGTCGTCTTGATTTTTATTTCTTTTAAGTTTCATTTCTTGGATTTTGGTAGCCTACGACAGTAGATCAACAAAATGTCAAGAACTGCAAAAAACCACAGCGGTTAATATAGAAAACCTCATCATAATCGAACCACCAATGTGAGAGAAAGACAATATTTTAGACGTTGATGACATATGTGTTTTTGTGTCTTTCAGATATACAATATTACATATGCATCAAAATCCAAAACGGTTGCCTCACAAACGCACACACACATCAACATCTAAACTATTGCCTCCAGAGAGGTGAGACAGAGCCAAGGTCTGAAGTGAGGGCGGTAGCCAAGGGCAAGCATAAGTTGGAACTCTAATTGAAAAATGAAAGTGAAAGAACGCATGAAAAAACCCAATTTATACAAATAATCTTTACTAACCAATTTGGTCCTCCTATACATCGTGTTGTCTAATTACAAAAATCCATGTCGGTGTGTAATAAATAGGGACGTATTAAAGTATATAGAGCGCCAGAAAAAGTAAATTGCGGTTTTGTAAACCTATCTAACCACGTCGGTTTGGTAAACTAAATTCATTGACTTTTAAAACCAACAATGACAGTTCTCTATAAACAGGTGACATCGTAACTTATAATATCACTTCTTCAAAAGTAAACTTTTGTCGTGTAAAACCTAGATAACCACATCATTTTTGGAATACCAAAAGTCAATTGGCTTTATTACTAACCACATCAGTTTCTACTATTTTAACGCCGTTGTAAAGACATACTAGGGTGGTTTTGGACAAAACCGTCGTCTTATTGATCTTTGGGACAATAGAAAATCTTTTTTGTCACCTGACCTAAAGTTTTACGTTCTCTCTAACTGTTAAAAATGTTCAGTTTCCTCTCAATTTCCCTCTCATTTCCCAAAAGCGGCGTGTCTGAATCTCTTCATCTTCCTCGTCTTTGTCTCATTTCTTTAACCATCTTCTTATTTGAAATGATCGCGGGAGAGAGAAATCTGAGCGGTTTTTTCTGTATCAACTCATAATAATAATACGACGGTTTTATCATTATGTCATTTTAACGCTCTTACCACGACGGATTTTCACATCCGTCGTTCTAAAGAATATCACGACGGTTTTGTTTTTTTCCCGACGTCTTCATTGTAATAGTACGTCATTCTTTTTAATTAACCGTCGTTTTTTTACTTGCAGTTTTTGTTTCTCTCTAAATATGGTTTCGAAATCTCAAAGTAAGGAGGCTCAAGTATCAAAAGGTCAAAGCAAGGACCTTGCAGTTTCAAAGGCTCAAATGAGTGAAGCCAAATCTGTTCAAAGCAATCCCGCGAAGAAGATGAGATTTACTTCAACCTCCGAGAAAGACCCAAGCTCAGTGACATTTGATGAGGAGCCAAAATCAACTCGCGGTATCAACACAATGAGCTGTGTTGTGAAGAGAAAAATCTAGAAGATTAAGCCCGTGATTGAGTACAATAAAAGGGGCAGACCATATGGCAAGGCTACTGTTGAGATGCAATCTTACATTAGTGTTTTGGCATGCACCAGAGTCCCTCATGTGGACAAGAAATGGACTCAATTGCCCAAGGACCTGAAGGAGCAGATTTGGAAAGCTGTTGAAATGGCTTATGTTGTTGGGGAAGGGGGCAAAAAGATGGCGCTATCATTTGACGCCAAAAAATGAAAGGATTTCAAGTCTACCTTAACAAGGCACTTTATCCTTGCAATCGCAAATGACAAGGAGAAGTTAAAAGAACCCCCTCAACTTTATAACTTCATAAAGAAATCACAATGGGATGCTTTTGTAGCTTCAAGGTTATCCCCAAATCTTGAGACTATGCATTCTGA